TGCAACGTAAAAGAATGAAAAAGAAACGAGACAAATCAGCCAATTGCGAAACTCGCGTGTCGCGAATGGCTTAATATCATGGGGGCATATTGACCCAGATAACGACACGTGAGCCGGTAACGTGATCAACCTTCTTGCAACGCAAACAGCCACGAACTTTAAACGTGAACGCGTCCCATCCTCCTCGTGAAAGATAAATTGCCACGAATTCATAAGAATGGACACGGTGTTTGTCTGAAATGAAAGAGGCGGAAGAAGCGGAATTGGAAAAAAGAATTTGAATATCTTGCATATACGTAAAAAATTGCCCAGTCTATCCATCGCCAATGAAGCAAATCCAAGTACTTAAAGATCAAAAGAACAGAGAGGAGCAGTTTCGTTCGAGATTCCTCGACACGCTTTCCGCTTTTTTTTATGGCATGGCACGCGAGTACCGAAGAGAAAGAATCTAGAGTGCACATGCGCACGGCTTCTCTAAAAGATTCGCCTCGATTAATGCGCTGTAGATGACACTATTCTCGTGACGTGCATACCACGGAACCACGTCCATCCGTTCTGATTCCACTTCAATTGAAGATTTTTCCATTTTACATTTTGTTTCCTTTAAAATACTCGATACGTCGCCATAATACTGACCCAGTTTCTAAACGACTACCATGAATGTGATCATTTCAAGTTGATGCGCCCGCAAACTCGGTATGAATTTTTCACATTGACCATCTTTTTTCATCCTGCTTGTGGAAACGAGGAAAATCTCTCGTAAAGGAAATTCTAAAGAAGAAGAAAACTATTGCTATTTAAAATTGAATAAAAAATATATTTTTAATCGAAAATCGTTAAACGTATACCATACATTGCAACAAATATTTAATTAATTTTAATGACGATTTGTTTCATATAAATTCACATATGTATTTTTAAGACTTCGTTAAATATCGAATGTCAAATAAAATTAATCTTAATTAAACATCATTCAATATCACTAAGAAAGTATCATTATTATTTTTATCGATTTTTCTTCAATGAAAAAATGGAACTGAAATCAAACTTCTCTAATTTCATCGTTTAAGAATTAATAAACGATTCCACGTTCATTTCGTATATACTTCTTTCCAAAAAAAACCAAAAAAAACGTCTGAAAATTATCTTTCATGACAAGATGATAAGAACGAATTTATTAACGGATAATACGTAATTCATATTATAATTATTGAGAAAATAAATACTTATATATAATAATAATTATCGAAGTGCCGCTTCATTTATGCAATTATGCAAATTGATTAATAATTGATTGATAAAAGCTTGGTATCGCTCATAGAAGAAAATTGAAACGATTTCTCCGATTATTTTATTACTTTGTATTTTTGAAGGTAGCAGAATGTGAACGAAGAAGTAATGATTTTTCTACATATATCTTTGCACAAAGGCGATTCGCCAAAAATATATCGTATGATGCACGCGACACATGTCTGCCGTTCGATATATCGACACGAGGTGCGGCGATTGACACCAACGTGAACGAAAACTTGTTATTTCGGGCCTGTCGACGATGTATACATAAAGCTCTGTTTTAAAAATTCGTTGACGAATGCTTTTTCGAGTATGACATTGAAGAAAGAGGATCATCATCCAACAAATTACGAGGAACATCGATAACAGATCATGATACACAACGTATTTGTATATATCGATATCATAGTGAAATTTTTTCTTAGAGAAAAAGTCTTAGAAAGGTACCAAATATTTTTTTTTTTTTGAAAGAAATTTCAATTAGAAAGATTTGGAATAGTAAATTGAAGTAGTTTACAAAAGTTATTTTTATGGAAATTAATTTATAATGAAAATTCTGTTTTTTCACAAGCAAGTATTACAAATATTAAAAGAATATATACTTCACAACTAGAAAGCTACGAAAAATTACAAACTAAAAAAAAGGATTCAATATAATTTATAAAAATTACATCTGTTAAAATATACGTTGCTTTTATATCCAATGTTTTTTTTAAAAAATTACATATTTTTTATAAAAAAAAAACGAAAATATTACATTGAATATGTTCCTAAAAATCTGAATTAAAAAATGGAAAAAAATACCATTTCTGGGGGGGGGAGAGAGAGAGAGAGAGAGAGAGAGAGAGAGAGGAGGAGGAGGAGAGAGAGAGAGAGAGAGAGAGAGAGAGAGAGAGAGAGAGAGAGAGAGAGAG